CCCCTAGACAGATATTTACTCCACCATAAGCAGAAATTTGGAAAAAAAGAAGCGTGCTTTTAAACATCATCTATTTTAATAGCTGAAAAAAGAAAAGAAAAAAAAGTTATCCATAGAGTCACTTTTATTGTATAAAACAACTAAGATGTTTTTAATTTAAAACCAAATTGGGCACCTAATGAGGAATAAGTGTTCTTTTGGTAGTTTACAGACAAGGAATGAGTAATATATATTAAGTAACGATCGATATCTAACGATCGATTACTTAACGATCGATATCTAACTCGATTCGGGGTGATTATAAACTGACTTTCACGCTAATATTATCTGGATTATAAAAGATTTTGTCTCAGAGGTAACAGACAATGTAATCGTTTTGAAATAAGAAACGCTTTATTTATAATTGCAATATGTGTTATTTCCAACTCTGTTCCAGTTTTCTCCTACTATATGCGCATAAGTTAGCAAATAGAAATTATTATTGTAATTTTCACTAGTTTAAGTAATTACTATCTATGAAGCCAATATAAATCTGATTGAAATTTAATTGTGTTAAATATTAATGTCTAATTTTCATGATACAAAATGTAGAACGTATAATACAAATATATATATATATTATATTAGGTGTAACTGCGCGCAATGACATTTGGCTAATTGTAAAAGAAATCCTGTATACCAATGCTGAAACTCACTCTATGATTTATATACATAAAACCGCTAACCAAACACTCAACATCTAATTCAATCAAACTATGAGTGGCACAAGCCCAACAGAACAAAAACAAAAATGCGAGGATATACAAAGGTTAAAACATTTTTTGATACAAATCCATGTTGTATTAATAATCCGAATATCATTAAATGTACTAAATATAACAACATTGAAATATCTGGAGTAAACTGAATTCATAGTATTTCCTTAAAGAAATGTTTATGACAAGTCTAACCCCTTTTCACTTAGTGGCTATATTTCAAATGTTCAGAGAAAAACAAAAACATTAAAATTTCCAGTATTTATAATGGAAGAAAGCCAGTGTTTTAGTCTACTTCAGTAATTATTGTTCTATTCGTTTAATTGCATGTTTCGTAAAATTACTTAGAACACTATTTTAAAAAGAATATATAATTATCAGAAATTAGTGTTCAATCTCACAGAATGGTTTCAGAAGAAACAGACAAACAACACACTTTCTGTTTATGTAACTCACCATAGAGTAACCTATATTAATTGAGGTGCGTGAATAATAATATGATACTACACCTAATTTATATTATACAGCAGACCAACTGTTTCGTGATTATATTACAGATTTATTATATTTTCAACAAAGTCTTAATGCCTGACTTAAAAACCTTTGCTATACTGATGAGCCTTTAATACGCGAAATGCAGTCCACAACAGAGGGCGTAGTGAATCAAAGAATGCACTGGTTTTCTACGTCACAGACTCTATTTTTAATTTTATCTTTGATGAAAATAAAATAAATCTGTAAAGGGTACATACTTTCTAGTCAGGTTACGTGATAACCACAATTCGAGATATTAGCAACCATCAGTCTACTGCCTCCCCGATATTGGAAAACTTGTGGCAGTGAGCAGAGGCGTCGCTTGTCAATGGCACACAGGACCTGTGTCCCGATTCTATTTGACAGTGCCCCGAATCCCTAATTGATATCTTTAAAAATCAGAACAGATATCACACTGAAACGCCGAAAATTCCCGCGCCTATGGGACCCGAGCCCCAAATTGTACCAAAGTACCTAGCGACACCCCTGGCAATGAATGACATAACGGACTTAAATATTAACTTCGCAATTATAATTCATCTAACGCAGTTGTCAATTGGCTTTCAAATTCTCACGAAAATCTTCATGGTCGTGTCAATATTATGGGTGCCTTTTCTGATACAGTGGTCTGACTAGAAATGTAATATCATCAGAGTATATTCAGTCTTCCGATTTGCGCACATGTGAAATCTTCCGCCTCTAACAGCCAGAATTGCTAAACTGTTACTTTTTAACTAGTCAGCTAATGTCAGTGCTAAAATCTAGCAAGTAGGAAAACCATAAAATATTATTGCAAATAGATCCTAAATTTTTGTTCAAGTTTCCAACTGTTACATTTTTTTTCTTTTGCTACCTGTGTTGATTTCATACTTTGCAGACAAATCTTTTCGAACTGCTCGTAATATGGATTTTCGATTTGCCACACTAAAATCCTGGGCTCGATTCCGCGCGGTGAACAGAGTGAAGATATCCAGCTGTGTAGCTTTGCACAAAGAAAACAACAACAACGATAACTGATTTGCCTTTTAGTTGCACTGTATCTGCGAATACTTCCAATGGCGTAGTGAGGGTGAATAGCGCCCAGGAGTAAAACATAATTTGACGCCCCCCCCCAAAAAAAAACTAATCCCAACTCCACCCACCCTTTACACTCTTACTTTCTAACTTCTAGCATTACATGGCAACCCTACCTACCATAGTGCTGTATCTCACCATATTTTTCATGATTATCTGGTCTTTGAAAGACAATTGCTGGTCGAATAAGTAATAGCAGAAAAGCACTTAATCCAATGGAAAGGGATTTTGTAGAGAATGGAGGTATTTTTCATGTGACTTTATTTAGTTAAAGATGTTTATTGGTTTATCAAGTTTTATTTTGATTGTTTGATGCGTCCATATGGTGTGACATTTTAGTGTTAATTACCTAGACATAGGGAAACCAGAATATTTACAACACTTCAGTTAATTGACCATACACTCCAATGCTGAACTCCACTCAATATAGTATGCTAAATCAAATAGAAAAGGAACACTAAATATCAGTTCACAATACAGTCGAGTCATTTATCCACCAGTCAGATAACCGCTAGAGTCTACTATCCACCATTTTAGAGCCCCAAAATATGAAATAGATAACCTGTATTCTGACACATTAGTGACATTATTACCCTACCAGTATGCTACATCTGCAAGCAGAAAAGACTAATAATAGCCTACCTAAGTTAGATCCCACCCCTAGAACATCCAATTAATGTTCGTTCATTAATAACGATTGTCACAATCCCATACAAATGAACCCCATTTAAAGTTTTGTGAATTTTTTTAATCTGCTTTACATAGTTGATAGTATACTGCATATTAGCTTAAATAGTAGTTCAGTATAGAGTACACCACATTTAAATTTATTGTGACTTTTAATTATCAGCATATTATATTATGTTAAACAGTAACATAGTAAACTCCTTTAAAACAATTGAAAACACTATTTTTTTTTCTGATAGGAAGAGGCAATTATCCACCAAAGGTCAGGATTCTGACTGTCAAGAACATAGATTGGCAGATAAACGATTCTTGACTGTATTTATTCAACTGGATGAATCACTAAGCAAACATATTACAACATTTATATTTACTACTAATTCTGTTTGCACATACATACACAGACACACTTAACGCAGAACAACTTTTCTGGCCTTAACTGCTGCAAAGTTATCAATGACTTCTTCAAAGTTGAGCTTTGCTAGAGTTTCCCTTTCTACACTGAGGAGGGCCAAATCACTGAGCCAATCTTGTCCCATCGATGCCCTCAGGTATGTAAAGATCAGCTTTAATTTGCTGAATAAGCGTTCGCAGCTTGCAATTGATACAGAAATGGTAAAAAGGATTTGTAATGTAACACGCAAATTCGGGAACACTTCTTCACCGAAGGACAATATGAATTAGAACAGCTCCAAAGGAGTTTTTGGTGTGCTGTCACGACTATTTTCTAGAATTATCCTACAGTCACAGATCTCCGCGTGGAGTTCAGCTCCATTCTGTGGTAGAAATTACCTAGAGTTGTGCAGTTTTATCTGAGGAGATCAGCTGAGTTATTGTTCCCTAGGAATTCCTGATGTCAAGTAGATAACCAAATTTCTCACTGGGTCCTTTCAGTCAAGGGAATCACTGTATCATTTCTGGCTGCAGCCGATCCAGAATGCTTTTCATGATCTCTTCCTCTGCTGAAAGACCTTCGTCTGTGCCAGTTCTCCAGCCATTCTTCTTCTTTGAACCTCCACTCCCCATGCTTCACATTGCTCTTTCCCTAGATTCATGGAGTTTCTGCATAAGTAGCCTCAAATTTGGGAGATGTAAAATTGCAGGACTTCAATGTCATTAGATGCCTCTTGGAAGTTCATGCTAGGATATTGTAGTCGTTTTGGTACACAATTTATTTTCACCAGGATCTCATGCCAAAAAGGAAGAAGAGTAAAAAGTTGAAAGTGAAGACACTTTGCAGCAACTGTTCTACACCCCCACTGGTTTCTGATGTTTCATTTTGATCCTCAGATATTCTTTCCAGTAAGTCCACCAAGTCATTGAGGCTGTCGTAAATAGCTTTGACAGCCTCTACTCTGGCACTCCAGTGGGTATCAGACTCCTGCTTAACTGTGTGGGTATCGCCTTTTTCATTTTTTCCCTCACAAGGTTGAACGTGAAAAAAAAACAGATATAAACTCTCAATAGTTGCAATGAATGTCACTATGAGAGACTCTTGACTGGCGAAGTGACCTCCAGCCAGGTTCAAACTGTAATTGTCACAGTTGAAAAACAGCACACGGGGATTTTTGTCTAATATCCTCTTCTGTACTCCAGATATACGGCTAGAAATTACATCTGCTTTGTCATATCACTAAGACCGACAATCATCTAATGGGAATTGGTTGGATTCAAGCTTATTACGATCAGTTTCTCGATGGCGGCTGCATCCTTTGAATGAACTTGGATAAAACCAAGAAATTCTTCTTTAATTGACACATTCTTGTTGATAAAATCTAGATCAACAAACTTGATAATATGTAACAAGCAAGATTCCATACTACTTGTTCCTTTTGATGGCATCCAAGAGTCCATCCATCATTCTAGAGCCAAGAAGACTAATGAGTTCATTCTGAGATTAAGTAGATAAGTAGGAAACTGATTTATGATTCCGCTGGGCACATGTGAGGTGATTTTGAAGCACGGGATCATACTCAGTTATGAATTTGAGAACAGATAAAATATTTTCAGTGTTCTTCTCTCCAGCAGCTGCAAGGTTTTTCTCATGACCATGCAAGGCCAAAATCTGTGAAACCAGGAACTTCATGCAGTTCAGAAGTCGATTCCGTTCAGAACCAATCATAGACTCTAAGACTGCATCTATTCCTGCCCTCTGAGAGATTATCCATTCTGTTTCCTTGCAGATACGGATAGAAACTACTTTACTGTCTTCTTCCAGTGATTAAATCTAGCCAGTTTCTCAAAAACGATTGACTGTTGATAGCTGACTCGAAGAACAGCAAGCTGCTTCTTTAGAGAAAAAAATACAGGAGCCATGTCCGATTAACTTCACCACCTTGTCCATTACAAAGTCGTCGTTTGAACCATGATTTAGTCATCGAATGTCCTTGTCCTTTATTCCGTTTGAAGGATCCATCTTTATTCTGAAATGATGCAGACCCACAAGCTACCATCTCCGTGCGAAGCTGCTGTGATACTGGTACCTACGATATTGGGTCGAATTCAAGCTTGCCAACATCATTAAATCTGAAAACAGCTGGAACTGAGAAGCCAATCCTGTCATCGTCGTTATCTACTTTATCTTACGACATAGGTACTCTGGAATTCGCCGATCATCTTCATGATTTTTGCTTAATGCATTCTGTATTCTCGAACTTAGTCTGGTCGTCTTCCTTCTTCTCCGCCAGTGCCTGCGCCTCTTCCCTTATCTTCACCAGTGCTTTATCCTCTTCCCTTTTCTCTACTGGTGGCCGAACATCTTCCATTTTCTCAATTGGTGGTTGATCTTTCTCGGTTTTCTCTAGAGGTGACTGATTGCCCTTATTGCTCATTCTTCTCTGTGTACTCTTCGTAAGAAAATATTACATTAATTTTCTTGATTTCTGCCTCCTCTTTTACCTTCCTTTTCCTATTTTGAGCATCAGTTAATCTTTTCTAGACATGTCTGCGGACAATGAAAATACCCGAGTCAAAGTCATATTTTACCAAAAATGTAAAAAGGCATAAAGGTATCACAAATTTATGAAAATTAATGAACAAATAATACACTAAGAATTAGGCAACAGGTTCTGTCATAGTTGACTGAATTTCATTGTCATTACTGCTTAATTTACTTTGAAATACTTAACACTTTGATACAGTCATTTCATTTTGATTGTGATAATTTAGAAAAATAGTTAGAAACAGAGATACCAAAATAACTTTCAGCAGCTGTTATTATAACATTTATTCACATCTTCACTCCTTGGTTTTTGTTTGCTTCTTTGTAGTTAAGTTTGTGGGGTATTTGTGCTCTGCTCACCACGGGAATCGAAACCCGGTTTCTAGCTATGTAAGCTCGCACACATACCGCTGCGCCATTGGGGAGCCCATTTCATGGATTATCAGCACCGTCTTATGCCATGATCATGATTATCAGTATAATATCGTTACCTAAAGGAGGAGCTCACCTAACTTTTAATGCCATTATATACGAAAGCTTTTTGTATAAAGCATTATAAAGGAGTGTCTTGTAGGCAAGAAAATGAAAAGTGCAATTATATAATAACTAAATCTTCAATTATTAACCATTAATGATGCCGCCATCTTTGGTTGGCTGTGTGAAGAAGAACATGATCAAAATCCAATGCAGCTCAAGTAATTTACCTTGAAAGTTTGAAAACATCAGACAGCCTATTACTAGTTATTTGTCAACTATATTTCAATATTCAACGGAATAATTGTAGTTATCAATACGCTACTAATCGAGTAGATAAAAACTTCAAATGTATATATACGTTCAACTATAATCACTATTCAGAACATTACTGATAGACATTAAATGAGTATTCAATATACTTTAGAGCAAACCGTAGAAAAATCAGTATCACGACGTATTTTATGTTGAATGTTATTCTATGAGTATGAGTATAACTGAAGTGAACAAACTATTCGAAGATAATGAGTGAAAATATTGTCTGGCACGAGAATCGGCAACTTTATTGCTTAGCACTAAGCTACGCTAACATATTAGGCTAAAATCAAGATATTAACATTTGTTATTGTAAGAAAATAACAATAAGTTTGCTTGTGTCTATTTCTGCTATATCAAACACTTGACTTCAAACATTAATTGTTGGTGCTAACTATGTCACTTATGCGGTTGATAACTACAAATAATACAATTAAGTTATTAAGCTATTATTATTATACATGTATAAGATACCTTTTTAATCAATACCAAAACTGAGCATTATGCATGTATAATTCAGTATAAATAGTAAAAAATTGTTTGAAATAAAATTAATTCTCCACTAAAGTAACTACTTTGTGTGAGCCTACTTTGTAATGGTTACTATAGCTTAATGCAGTATCCAAAAGAAAACAGTGATGTTAAGTTGGAAGTATTTATTTTAGGTGAACTTTTGAATATTTATTGTTTGAAATTTTATTTTACAAATTTACCTTGGCGCTAAAATAACCTTCATCACTCGAAATGCCCTGAAAAACTCATAAAACATATTGTGACAAAAATAAAATAATAATAACAGTAAAGAAAGTAAAAAAGATAATGGCCCGCTGGGTTGTGCCCGAGTCACATAAGACAATCTTGGTTCTATCCGCCATTCTGTTTTATGAGCGAAAAAAGTCTTAGGCCTAGTGTAAATTTATGTAAGGAAGAAGCTGAATTAAAATATAAGATTGTTTTTGCGTAAAGATATGTAACTGGGTTGTTATAATTATTTTTTAAGTAACTTTCAAATTAAGGATACGAAGTTATTGGAATAATTCAAATCAGCAAATATTATAATTTATAACTCACAAATTTATTGCTTGTGTAGTTGTAAGGTTAGAACTTGCAAGTTACATAGTACCGAATTACTTGGTAGGCTTAACGAGTTGATGTGAAACGCTCATGCTTGTATTACTAGCCTGACTAACTAAACGGTATGTGCTTTCCAGAAGAGCTAGAAAAATAAAGCTCTGTCTTTTATATCATGTTAAATATCAGTTATTTATCTTTAGTGTTTGGTATGTTAAGATAGATTATAGCGTAAGTAAATCGGGAAGTATTAATATATCAATAATATATATATATATTAACTCATGAAATGGCAAACCTAAAATGTAAATTTAGTTAAGTTTGTAGTATATACTTATGAAATAAAGTAGTAATACTACTGGTGTTACTACTAGTATTAGTATAATAGTAAAAGTAAGATTTAAGACTACTTTATATGTCTGTAATATGACGTGATTACTCACAGACAGACTAATTTTATTCTATTGTGGAAAAAAAGTGAACCATTATTACAGTATAGGGCATAAAAGTTGACTCATGGTGATAGAGATGCTAAGCCTGAATGCAAATGCAACTTTTTAAACATAAGACTAAATATACAGTTACTGAGTTAGTAACAGTAGCAGTGTGCCAGTAGTTGTAGCACATGAACTGACCCTTGGAAGAAGTAAAAATTTAAATCCACCATTTTGTTTAGTTTTCAGGTAATCATCAATTCTTCTCTAAAGCTTCTGTAAAATGCTGGCCTTCCTACTGTTAATAGTAACTCATTCCACAAGTCAGTTACCTTGTTAGGAAAATGAAACTGTCTTTATTGGGCCTGGCCTGTATTTTTAACTTTTGGCCTCTTCACATAGTACTGTAAAGAAATTAAATGCTTTTATTTTTGTATAATCTTGTAAGCTTCAATAAGATCATCATTTACCTTTCTTTTCTTGAGGTCTTAACTTATTTTTTTAAAATAACCCTTCTATTCCTGGAATCATCTTAGTGGTCCTCCTTTGAATTTTTTCTAGTAAGTCAATATCCTTTCTTAGATAAGGAAACCAAAATTATGCACAGTATTCCAATTGAGGCCTAACAGTGGTTTATATAGAGATTATTAGTATTACCTCCTTTGACGTGTAATTATTATGTATAAGTACATTTCAAAATTCTATTAGCTTTACTGCTAACAACAGAGCAATGCTTTAAAGGATTGACTAACTCATCCACTATTGTGCCAAGATCCTTTTCTTCAGTTTCATTTATGGGTTACTATCTGCATTAAATGTCTAATCCAAATTAGGATAAATGCATTATCTTACACTTATTAAGGGTTTTCCCCCCAAATATTTATTCAGATTATCAGTTGATCCAAGTCATTCTGTATAATATCTCAGTGTTCTCAATATAACTATAAATATCCAAGAGTTTAATGTCATCAATGTACGTTACTAATGATGTCGTATTAGTATCTTCATGAGTTAAGTTGTCACTTTTAAACTTTCCAAAAACTGAAATGTATACATTTTGTAAGAGAATAGTACAAGTTCACCGAATAACAAATCACATAATGCATTAGCATACACACACTAAATTCTTTCACATGTAGTCATCACATGAAATGGAGTAATGTATGAAATTGTATCCTCCCCTGCTGTTGTAAATGATAAGTTTCATTCTCTCATTAATTAAGGAAGTGGATGATAAAAATAGATATATGGTTTTATGCTGTAAATGAAAAAGTTTGCAACATTGAATAATAATAAAAAAAATAGAAATTTACTCAGAGAAATTGAAGAAAACATAACATGCTTCATTATAATTGTTGTTGGCCTATATTATTTTAGTTCAGATCGAATAACGTTACATTGGCTTGCTAAACTACATTTTGGTTTATTTTAGTGTTTTAATTATATAAATAAAATATGTATAAAGCTGGGTGATTAATTGGATTAATTAATATAATCAATTATTCATGAGTAAGATTAGTTTCACGTAAAATAATTGAAATTCTGTTTAAATTGTTTGTCATGAAGACAATCAACCAACGAAATTAATGTTTCCAATTGTTACTATTGTTGACCATTCCAATTATCCAGGTAATAGAAATATTGCTATTGTGATCAATTAATCCAAGATTGTTTAGCTTAATTAGATAGTGTAATGACTCATGAAAATAATCAACTAATTGAAATTAGTTTCTGATTATTAAAATTTTTTATTCCAACTATCTAAGTCTTTTGAGAATAATTGTTTAGTTGAATAATACTAGGGGTCCCAGAAAATTATTGTTCTTGGCCATAGAAGTGTGTGAATGTGAAATCTCAGTTGTGAATGTATAAATCTCACATAAACAAAATACTAACTAATGAAAATAAATACAGTATTAATACATGCTGCATTTTCATGACTTATTTCAAGGCAACTGTATTCCCACTAGTTGTAAATTGTCTTTAAAAACATTGTGATGATCACTAAATCCTTTGTCAGCAACCAGCAAGCAAATGCTAAAACCAAAAATGGTGTCAGTTCAAATTGGCTTGACCAATAAGGATCAGTGGTACATCAAATGATAGCTCTCTTCATGATCTACTTTGGTCTGGCTGGTTTCATTGGATCCAGAAGCATTTACTATTTGAAAACATGCAACCAAAACCTTAAAACCATTTAAAATTCTTTTTAGCCATTGAATTTGTAGAAACAAAGCCATACAATAAACTTTGTGAGGCAGATTACATACTGTATAGCCTTGCACATAGATATGTCCGCCCAATTCGAACTGACAGCAAGTCAAAAAATGATGAATGAGGATTGTAAACAGCCTAAACATTGTTTTGGCAACTGCTTGCTTTACATAATATCATCAGGCATAATCAAACTATGTAGTCCTGATAAGTTTGCTATACATCATATCATTGTGTGTGGCTACAGAGAAAGAATGTGCTACAATATTCTATGATAAAAATGATATGAATGATGTAGCAATTAGATCAGGACATGATGTAGAATGGGTAGAGGTTAATACAGGATGTATCTGTCAATCATAGTATTTCAAGTTTACAACCAGTATGATTACAAAATCTATTCTTTCACAGGTACATAGGTAAGCTCAGACTTCATTATTAACATTTGGTTATTGACAGTTTTCATTTTATTTATCCATATAATATGAATATGCATAAATGAGTTTGAAATTGATGGATTTTCTTGGGACTATATTTTATCTTGCCTTGACATGGGTGTCACACAGTATCAAGTGAAAATTTATCATTCCCTAACATTTTGTTAACATTGTTGCAATGGGATGGTTGTGTGGAACTAAGGTCAATTTACAGGTATGAATTTTAATTGTTTTTCATTAGTTATTAACTAAATAACTTGCAGTGTAACTCTACTAATTTGTGACTGTGGAATCCAGTGGTGTGTGTTTTTTTGTTACTTTCATAATTTAAAAATCACCCAAACCCCCTACTAATACACTGTATGTAGCATCACATCACAAAATTCAGTTCTTAACTTTTTAGAGCAAATTTTCCAAATTACCACATTAGTTACAGTAATAGTGAGTGCAGATAAGTGAAACTGTGGTGTGATAGTATCAGTTTTGTATATGTATAGCAATAAAGTTATAAGAAAAAGATTCTTGCTACCCAGGGATCTCAAAATAAACTGGTATGCATGGTAGGCTAGACATAATGTATGAAAAAACTACATACATTTTGAAAATTAAACAACTTCTGTTGGTCTTTTATTACAAAACATTAACAATTTCATACAGTTTATTGTTTGACTTGGCTACAGGATTTTCAGATGGGTGAAGAGTATACCTGGTTCAAAAGTGGTGTGGTTCCCCTCATCAGATTTTCAAATCTGACTCTCTCAGTTCCAGGAGTATCCTTCGGACACTTTTGGGGGGTACTTTTGTCATTTCCTCGCACAAGTCTCGTCACCTAATCAATGTGGGATTCTTGCTAATCTTGTGAGCGGAGGGAAGTACCGTATCGGATATTATAATTTTTTGATACTGAAAATGTATTTTCGATAGGCACTTCCCTTTTCACACCCTTTCTCCCCACTTTCCTCTGGTACTTACATATTCTACCAAACCTCGAAGTGATAGATTGGTAGAGACGTATAGAGAGAGTCACATATGTCACACTCCTATTGATGCATGATGATTTACGTGAGAGACATGTTGGAATCATTTGTTTCTAATAGGGGGGAGCAGAAAGCTTGTGGCATGCATAAAGAAAAAAATTGCATATAGAGGGCAGCACTGGAGGAAAATATCTAATCTTGTGAGCGGAGGGAAGTACCTATGAGAAATACATTTTCAGTATAGGAAAATTATAAGTTTTCTTAGTTAGTATTTATTTAAGCTGTCCTTCTAGTGTGTCAGTGTAATTAGAGAAATGTATTTTGTGTTTTAACTTGCTTGTAAATCACAGTTTATGTACTGAACTAATGTAGTTAAGTTGTAGCTTTTGCATATGAATAAGTATGTTCCCTTTCATACAGAGGCTTTGTTTATCACTGTTAAGATCTTAAAATAATGTGAATAAACATTTGAAGCAGTGCTTGAATTTAACACCTCTTTCTGTGGTATCCAGCTGGGCTGTTAGTCAGAAACCTACTAGCCTACCACAAATGATTAGCCACTATTGCAACAATATAATTGGTTTTTTGAATGGGGTTAATTAATTGTATATTAAATGCTGCATAAAAAAGGAAATTTAATACTTATATGTTTTATTTAATATTTTATATTGGAAACTTGAGTTTACTGGAGTTTTTGATAAGCCAATGAGACACTAACCTAGGGCTAGCAGGCTACTGTTAGTTTTAAAATCGTGTAAGGCATAAATGTCATATCCTTCCTAATAAATACAGGTATTGAAGGTTGTTATCAAGTTTCCTTTAATGTTATGTATCTATCTTTTTTGAGGATTAAAACTGAACATGGTATCTTAAAAGAAGATTTGCACATTTTATAAAAGGATAAAATAACCCTTTTTTTTTAATTACAATTTTTTATAGATCAATCAGTCATCATACCAAAATCGTTCTGATTCTTTTGTTTCTCTTAAAAGAAGTAATTTTAAGCAGTTCATACTGCCTTGAATTCTCTAATTTCTACTAATAAGATATTAAAGAATTGGAAATTGTTTTTGTTAACTCTAAGCCTCACTTCTTTGAGTTCCAAGAAGTTATCACCAAAGATGTAATGCTAATCAATCTGCTTGCCAGAAGTAGTTGGTGTACAAGTGATCACAAAATTATTAAGTTGAAGCAATTGAGTTTTTTTCAAAAATTTTCATTACAGGTCTATTACCAACTACATATAAAAAAATCCTTTATATATATCTAACCCTGATCTCTTAAAAATTCCAACAGGTAATCTCCTCTTAAACTCATTCAGTGCTACATGTAAAGAAAATTCCAAAAGAAAAGTAACACTGCTATAGGTCAGAGTTTTCTGTGCCTTAAAAAAGTAGATAACTCTGTGTTATTAATTCTTACCCAAAAAATCTGATTTATAAATGACTTAACAGTATTTGAAATAAGTGGTTTCCAGTTTTCCAAAAAAAACTCAGTTATTGCCAGACAACTCAAATGCACTTCTGTGTTGTCTGTAAGACAGCTATAACATGACCTGATCCCATGGCAGTCTCGGTATTGAGCCCGTATTGCCATGTTCAGAGTGCTATATAAATTATGAGTGGTATGTCTATGTGCATGAGTGTTTGTTATAATGTCTGCAAACCTGTCGCAATCTTTGACCAATAACAGATTGCTACTCAATAAATTTTGATGATGCCATGTTCATTTTTGACATTTACATTTTGCATGTTTTGATACATTACACTTGAATACTGTTTTTGATGTAAGTTGTGGATCTGGATTGGCTAAGCAAGCTTTGCTCTTTGGCTTTGACTTTGTGTCAGAGATGAGCGATCAAGACAAAGAAGGCATAAAGTCTTCAAGAAGATAGGGTAACCGTGGATATAATCAAAACAAATGCAAAATAATCTTCCAAAGTTCCTGGCAAAATTACCATCCATGGCAGAAGTATGACAAAGAGAAAGGGGTCATGTTCTGCTCATGAAGTTCTTCAATAAAATTACTATTTTCTATCAACTAATGAGCATTCTAGTGTGACATTTTATTTATGATAATGTAACACCAATTTTTATTAGTCAACTAACTTGTTCATTCAAATGTGGATAACTGTAGTTTATTGGAGACAACCATAACTGGTCTGAAGGTTGTCTGTAAGTCTTATTGCAAACATGTTTTTTACTCTTTTTTTTTCCTTATTCTAGCTTAAGATGTGGGAAGGAGGACCTTGGCAGCACTGGCATTTACAAGCTTCTATGTACCATAATGTGCCACATGAGCAGGGTGAGTGTTTTAGTTATAAAGAGGTTGGTTATGTTACATTAAACAATCTTGAAGTCTCACCACATCATTACAGTTCAGGTTTCCACATCTAGTCATGCTGTATCTCACTTCCTTGCATTTTGACCATAGTCCTATATGTAGTTTATATTGAAAAAGCTCCACATAAGGTTGTCATAATTAAAACACATTCAACCTCACTCCATGCTTTTCATAAGCCATCTGTTGTATAAGGATGACCTATTCTCAACCTCTGTTTCAACAGTCCAACCACACAGACTTGAACAGTAGGTTTTCATATGGAATAACATGAATATCGGGAGGTATGTGATGGTTGAATGGATATTTCATGAAAGCAACTTGTGCTGCTTTTCCAGATAGAGGTCATTCTTGATTGTGTTGTGTACTGTTGCATGTGAATGGATTTTGCCAATGACCTTTGTGTTCATGGATTCTCACCTGTTACAAGACATTACATTTTCCAATGTGTTCCAACTTGTTGCACATCTCTATCTAGATGGTCCCGATGTGCCAGGTTGGTCCTTTTTCCTTTGTTTTCAATGCCATGAAATACAAGAGATATCGTTATCTTCAAAATTCTAAATTTTCTAAATGAATGCATCTTTATGATCTGAGAGTATGAATACATTGCATCTGAAAAGGCTGTTACAAACCCTTCTTAAAAGCAGTCAGTGTCAAAAGTAGTTCTGATACATCTGTTCCACCACAACTTAAAGCTGCTGTCATTTGACTTGCTGATTTCGTATTTGAAATAATGTTAATCTCACATACTCAACCTTCTGTATAATATTCTGTTGAATACTTTGATATTTACTTGTATAAGTTGTGCTCTTTGAATTAAACATAGAGAATAGTATTTTGTGTAACCTGAAAGTATATCATGAAGTATTAAAAAAGTGTAAATTATTCTATAATCAAAATCTATTTGTGATGGAAGAAAGCAAATTCTTCTTAATAAAAATTTTCTATTTGTGTTTTAAAACTAAACTGAATTTTCTACTGTGTGTTGTGTATGAAATTACTGAAACAGGAATATATATATATATATTTCTTTATGAATTTTATAATAGATTGCTTGCAAATTCACATTTGTATTTAGTCCTACAGTAAGAAGAGGTGTGTGTATGTGTAATATTTAAAAATAATGTTATAAAATTTTTCGTATATTTATATATATACATATATTCTTTGTAGTTGATTGGGCAGCTTTGGCCAAGCAGTGGATTCAGATGCAACAATTTCAGCAAACAATGGAAGACACCCCCTTACCTTTAGATCAAGAGGTACCACCTCCACCACCACCACCACCATTGCCACCTCCACCCCCTCCAATTGAAGATAGCAACCCTCCAATGCAGGAGACTATATTGACAAGTACAGAAACTACATTGCCTGGTGTATCTAATGGAAGGGACTCTCAAGTAAATTCCGTGGGAGGTTAGCTGTGTCTTTTTAGATATTTGAATTTAATTTATTGCCTGTTTCGGAATTTTCCTTTAAAAACTTGTATAGTTTACTCACATTTTAACTAGAATATTTTTGTCACAAAACATTAACAAATATAGGCCTATTCTCTCTCACTACAGGCTCGGTCCTGGGGCTGACCTCATAACTATTTTGTGCAAGTTATAGTTTTCATATTATAACTTTTAATACAGTATGTGTATCTTATCAACATTTGGTAGATTATCATTAAACGTAACAAGGCTTTCATACACAAAATATCAGATTTTTAAATTAAATATTTGCTTCTGCATTTTGTCTTTTAATAGCAAAATATTGTTATGTTATAAAAAGATTAAGGTAAATAAGATGTCTACCAGTGAAAGACCATTTAAAAATTGCAAGTTTGATAATCACAAGTTTTCACTCAAGCCTAAAATGAGTCTTAAATGATCTACATGAAATTAATAACTGGAAATGTCTTCACAGAATAGACCTATATGCTTTAATTTTTTGTAACAAAAATATTCTTAGTTAAAATGGGATTACACCTATATAATTTTTTTAAGGAAAATTCTAATAATGGTTTCAGTTGTTTTACATGCTATTTTTCACCAGTTTTTCCCTCTATAAAATGAAGCTCGTATTTGAAACTTGGAATCAACTACCATATCCATAGGAAAATATATGGCTTGAAAAGTTTTATTAATGTTGTAAAAAAGTTTCAAACAAAACATTTAAATATTCCAGACTATTTTCATCCACAACCATATTAGGTGAAACAATGTGTACAATTTATTATTTTGCCAAATTATTTTACTAAGGTCTGAAATTAACGGTTCACAATTTACCCAGTAGTAAAATATTTTATATTTAGTTTTGGTATATAATATTATTGCTATTGTTGCACGTATGTTTTTAAAGCTCCTTGGAGTAAAATAATTTGCTGTAAATGTTCTATAACCATTTTACTACAGGCTCAGTCCAGGGACCGATCTCATAACTATTTTGTGATGTTATAGTTTTCATATTATAACTTTTAATACAGTGTGTGTATCATAACGACATTTGGTAGATTATCATTAAACATAACAAGGCTTTCATACACAAAATATCAGATTTTTTTAGTTAAATATTAGCTTGTGCATTTTGTCTTTTTGAATGTTGACTATTCCACATGTAAAATAATTTTGATTTTAAGATTAGAAATACCTTTATACATCAGGAAAATGTCAAATTACATTTGCAAAATTTCTATCAGTCCTTCATATTTGAAAATAGCAAGTGAGTGATTTTTTACTTGCCTGAAAATAGTATGGAGAGTGATTTTAATTGTTCAATGAAAAATGTTTTTTTCCAGGTCCATATGTCATAATGTAGTGAATAAAAGAAATAGTAAGCTTGAAAAAATCTTTATTTATTTTAACTTTTTTTCAAAAATCTGTGTATACATGTGTTATCTTCATAAAAGTTACACAGTATTTAGTAATTCCTCAAACACCCTTAAGATGAACCCTTGGTTATCAACATTTAACAAAAATGGGCCTAACTGAATTTTTTATTTTTTCTTATAAGTGAACAAAGTATTGGCAGATAACCAATGATGTTGGATGAGGATGCATAAGATAGTTTACTCCACCACCAAAGTCAGCACATTCATGAAATTTAAGGAGAAGCTGCACACTTGCCCTATTTAATATATGCTAATAAAATATTATGTCTCTTTTTTTTTTTATTGTGTAGCTCCCGAATCTGAAAAATTGTCGTATAAAACAGTTTCACATGAAATTGATCAGAGTTTATCCACCGTCATTTTGAGTATCAGAAAAAAGTTATTAATGACACAAAAACTTTGTCAAGGAAGACCTTGGACTAAATATTTAAATGTTTAGTAAAGCCAATGCATGATTTAAATCTGGTAAATTCAGCCACTGCCCATGCTATTCATATTCATTCACAAATATCGATCCGATTTCGATGCACTTTTACACGGCCTAAACTTTACATTGAACACTGGCATAATTTGTCGTCTCCTAGTATAATATCAGCATTAGAGTATTGATTTGTAAAAATATTTACCTTCACAACCAACTTGGTTCCACATTCTTTTTCTTTCTCTTAGCTGATGGTATTCAGCATTTTCCACTCATACTGGTCACTGCCATTGTTTTACATGAATGGCAGTTTGCAAAAGTAGTCTGTAATCCCAATTTGGATTAATGCATGCTCAGCATCAATACCTGTGTTGTAGATTGTCAATGACGAAGTAGTAAACAGCTGTATTAGTTGCAATATGAAAATACCACTCATTAAATGTGCTAAATAAGTAAAGTTGTGCGCATGATTTTAAAAAGGTTTTAACACAAGCAATAATGACAATTTTATGTGAGCAATTAATAACACATCTAAAGCACCTCAAATCCGAAGGACTGTCTATAACCTCCTAATAAAATCCAGATAAATATCAAATGTTTTTTTTGTTGTTGTTTTTTTTTTTGAAATACTTCATATTTTACATGTTATTTATCACCATAAAAAAGTTAGGAAATAAGATTCCACAAATATTTATTCTAAATAGCTTAAATCTCATAACATTATTTATTTTTATTTTATTGACCTTTCAGCCATGTTGACTGACAATACAGAAGTTGCAATCATGGTGCACGTGCTTCTCATGTTACCATATCCAGTAGCATAATACTGGCATTTACAAAGTGGTCTGTCTTGGCTTTGTTCTAGTGGACCAGTATTTTGTAAAATACAGTCACATTTCGCATATAATACGTAAGATATGTGTATATATCTTATTACTATTTACAAATAAATTCTTAAATTTCAGTTATTTTTCTTAAAACATAAAACAGTAAATAAAAATAGTATAGAAAACAACAATATCTACTACTTATGATTATAAAAAAGCTTGTATTCGTTTGCTGTACCTTGCTTGCTAGGCCTTGCGGAATTTCACACATGGAGGATGTGAAAACAAAATAACATTTTAGGTTTTATATATGCATTTTGAAATAACAAAAATTATAAATTACGCTACCAATATCCCA